ACTTTGCTTATGGCTTTTTTTTTTTTTTTTTTTTTTTTTTTTGTACTTGTGGCCCTGAGCTGTGTCCCCAGCCCCTTAAAAACTACAGATGACATAAAAACTTTCTGTGCCTTTCTCCTTAATTTGATTGTCTTAACATTTTCAGTTAATTAGTGCTGCTTTCTAAACAGTCTCCTAATGATCATTTCAGATGTGCAGTGAAAGTAAAAATATGGTCCCTTAGGAGGCCTTGAGCTCAAAGAAAAGGAAAAAAAATCCAACTAGGTACAGGTTGGACATCCCTAATCTGAAACTTTTTGAGTGCTAGCATGATACCACCAGTGGGAAATTGTACACAGACCTCATGTAACAGGTCACATTCAAAACAGGTACAAACTGGGTGTCGACACACACCTGTAATCTCATCACTCTAGGAGGCTGAGGTAGGTGGATTGAAGTGTGAGCCCAGCCTGGGCAACTTAGCAAGGCCCTGTCTAAAAAACAGATGAACAAACAAAAGGGCTGGGGATGTAGCTCAATAGGAGGCCCTGGGTTCAATCCCCAGTACCGCAAAACAAAAAACCCAGGTGCACTAAAAATATTACATGAAATACCTTTAGGCTGTGTGTATAAGGTATAGGTGAAACATAAGTGAATTTCATATTCAGACATGGATCCTATCCTCAAGATAGATTATAAGCAGATAATCACAAATTTCAATACAAAATCCCAAACATTTTTGACCTCAGCATTTGGATAAAGGATACTCAGCCTATATTGCCTTTTTTTCCACCTCCTGGTACTGAGGATCAAATCTGGGGTCACTACCATTGAGCTGTGTTCCTAGCCCTTTTCATATATGTATTTTTAAATGTTGAGTCAGGATCTCACTTAGTTGCCCAGGCTGAGTTCAAACTTGGGGTCCTCCTGCCTCAGTCACCCCAGTAGCTGTGATTAGAGGCCTGTGCCACTATGCCCAGCTGTATTGCTTTTTTAAAAATCGTCTTCCATGTACCCAAGGTCAGGCTGTCAGGTAGTATGGCCGTAGGATCTGGGGGTCAGTTGGTGCTGCTCTGATGATTCCAGGCAGCTTTCCAGTGGGTTCTTAGCCAGGTCACATTTGACACAGAAGCCGAAGCCAGCCATTAAGGCCAGATGCTGGAGTGGTTGGGAGGTGGCTGGACTTGTCTCCTAGGGAGCTCTGCTACCAGTTTCTGAAGTAGATGAGTCCAGGGTCCATAATAGCAGTATAGACCCGAGGCCTTTAATACCTGTTGGGGTGCTTGCTGTCTGCTTGGTTTGACCCCGTAGACTCCCACAGAGGGATCCTCTTGCTTTTGTGTGACTGGTTTGGGTTTGGACCTTTTACTTCCTTATACATCCTAAAGGATCCCAGAAATTTGCTTCTCTAGACCTCAGTTTTATTCTGCCCAGTAAATGCTGAAAAACGCCTTTACTAGCTTCACAGCAGACCTGGTGAGTCTAAGCCTTGGGCAGGTATGTATGGCGTAGCCCATGGGCTGGCTGAGAAATTGCCCCTGGGTGAAGCACCTGGGCTCTTCCAGTGCTGGGCCCTGATTTCAGATGCTGGGTCACTGGGTTAAGTCAGTCCCGTGTTTGCTCTAGTGAAGGAGAATGAGCTGAGCTGCGCACAGGGAGACACCAGGGCTTTGCTTGGCAAGCAGTGGGGAGTCTGTCTCTTGGGATGTACCTGTTGGGTGCATACATGCTGGCTGCAAGCTGTAGTGGTTTCAAGACTCCAGTAGCCAAAGACAGGCTCTCTGAGCTCCAGTTGACAGCATGTCTGTGACCTGGGCATCCTTTTTTTTTGTCTTTTTGAGACAGGGTCTTGCTGTGCAGTTCAGGCTGGTCTTGAGCTCACTTTGTAGCCCAGGCTAATCTCAAAGTTGCAGTGATCCTCCTGCCTCAGCCTCCCGAGTGCTGGGATTATAGGCGTGTGCCACCTCACCCGGCCCCAACCTGGGCATGCCTTACTGATCCAGTGTCTGCTCTGTTGCTCCTGTGCCGTGGGGGTGGGGCAGCTCATAACAGAAACAAGGCGGGAGCAGACGGGCCCCTTAACTCAGGCATGTCAGGACGCATGCACACACTTGCTAACCTCCTGGACACTTGGCAGGAAGTGACCGTGTGCACTATACCTGCCTGCTTGAGGAACCTGAGTGAGCCCACCCTGCAGGGGGCCAGGGCAGGTAATGTGGGTACCTTCTTGGGTTTGCAGGAGGAGCTGGAGACTGTCAAGGGTCCTGGGAGGTGGCATATATCTACTAATATGCTTCCAAAATGGAGTGATCTATTCCAGGTGCTGCTTGAACTGGGTATCTTACTGGGACAGAGAGCATTTTTTGAACTAAGAATGGCCGCAGGCCTGCTGTAGGGGCAGAGGAGGACAGAATACCAGGGTGGATAAGGAGTTTGGCAAGAATATTCTGTAACCCTAACTTGACACCACTGTTTGCTTTGAGCGTCCCACTGGGATAAGCGCTTGCCTGTGATGCCCCACGGCCATGCCTCTCTGGACTCACTAAACGTCTACAGGACACACGGGTGACATTTTTGACTTGGCTTGATTTCTTTTTTGTTTCAGAGATGGGTGCGTGATTTGACTCTTCCAGTCTCCTGTTCTCTGACCTCTTGGCCTCTCCTGGGTGATAGTGTTGAGGCCACAAGGAAATCTGTAGGCCAGGGGCTCTGGAACCTACCCCTCCTGTACAGGAAAGGCACCGTCACCCGCTTAGCTCTGACTTAGTTTCTGTGTGATTGCGTGAGAGCTGCTCAGCCCACCCACCAGCTGGAATGAAGCCCTGCCTCAGGCTTGCTTGCTTGTTCAAGGTGGCTTAAAATGCCAGATCCAGCTTCAGAAAACCGCTGCAGTGACCTCTCACCTCTTTTCTGAATTTTCTCCAAACAGGAAAAACCCTGCCTTCCTGGTTCATTTTGTCAGCTTCCTGTGTCGTGACTGGCACCCTGTGTCCCAGGCTTCTCAGGGAGCAAATTTCTCCCCGGTGCACATAGTTTAATCAGGACCTATGATTTAATTAGGAGGCTCTGCCTTAACCCAGCTTAATTACAGTTACTTTCAGGCTTCAGTCAAGCCAGTTCCTTGTAAGAAAGGGGCACGCACCTGGAAGTGGGGACTCCCTCTGCACTTGGGAGCAGTCAGCTTATTACTGATGACTTTCGTTTTTGACAGACCATGTAAGAACATTAATCAGTTGTTCATCCGACTGGAGTAAAACTCTGCCTCTGAGGCTTATTTGCTTCCTCAGTCATTTTTAAAGTGCTGAATCTTGGCTGGGGGAGGGGGTAGCTCATTGTTAGAACACTTGCTTAGCTTGTGTGAGGGCCTGAGTTCTATCCCCAGCACCAAAAATAAGTAAAGTACCAAACCCTGCCCAGAAGTGACAGCTGGAAGGAATCTGGTCTGGGTTTTTGGTAGTCTTTTTTTTTTTTCTTCTGGAAGTTTGCCCTCAACATTCTGACTCTACTGCTCACCCTATGCCAGTTGAAGGAGGACCAGGATCTCCTGTGCCTGAATTGAGTGTTTTGGGGGACGTTGTTTTAAGTGTCTGAAATCACTAGCATGTCATGGTGACTGATCACATAGCTCTGAGTCCAACTCCCTGTGGCTTTTCTCTGCATGGCTACTTGGTATGTAGGTGGCAGGGACAGATCAGACAGGCCAGACCTTCTACCTGTCAGCACTTGGGCTATGCTTTTGGCCGCTGAAGGAGCCCAGTTTTTGGCAGGGACAGTCAGCTGCAGTAGATGTTCCCACTGGCCCCTGTGTGGCCCAGTCCCAGTCCCAGAGCTCCCCCATTGAAGGCATGGGCTTGAATGGAGGCAGCACCGACTACCAGTCCCTGGGACTTCATCTCTGTGGTGGATCTGACCAGCCTGGGTTAAAAGCTTAATCCCACCTCAGATGCTGTGTCTAACAGCATCTCAGTGTGAGGCTGGGATAAAGGTTTCCTGAAAGATGAGCAGAGAGCAGGCCCCTGGGAAGTGGAGTGTACGGCTCTGTACTTAGGTCTGCCTGTCCCAGCTATGAGAAGATTCTGCTTAGCGGGAACGTCTGCACAGGAGAGACTGCGCCTCCACCCTACCTAACTTGCTGCTGGGGCTGAAGCCCACTGTTGCCTGGCTGTGATGCAGAGCTGAGTCTTCCGTGGAGAAGTTCAGGCTCCTCTTCACCTTGCCAGGGTCATGTTCATAATCTCCAGTGCCGAGGGAAGTTGGAGATCAGACTGGACCTTGGATGTGGGCCCCTGTGAATAGTGTCCTCCTATGAGGAGGTGTGAGAGCAGCTTTTGACCTGGGCTTGCAGGGTTAGGGTGATGCTGTCATCTGGGCTGTGTTTGAGAAGCCCCACATGTGACCCTAACTCCCACAGAAGTTGTGAGCCCCTTCCCATCTCAGGGAGGCTGCTTTTCCTCTATGGTGGCCTTTACCAGTGATGAGCTGATGGGCTGTCCTTCCAGACAACCAGAGTTGTTGTTTTCAGGGCCCCAAGGTGAAACTGCCCCTATTTTACCTTTTTTTCTGTGGGCCAAAGATGACCACTTTTGACCCAGATGAGGCAGAGGGTCTGGCATCATCTGTTGCAGGGTCCATGGGTTTCTGTGGAAGAAAGTCCTGCATTTGCCCTGATGTGTGAGGAGCAGCTTCGGAGCTGCTGACCTTGTGCTGCTTGCGTTTGCACCCGTGGCATTCTCTGCTGAAACTGTTCTTCACCTCTGAGCTCATGCTGAGACGCAGGCCTGTTTAGGTGTCACAGTGAGCGTTGGCTGTGCCCAGCCCCTTGTCTACTTAGACTCTCTGTTCTTCTTTTCCTGTGCCTTTCTTGTTTTACTATTTCATTCTTTTAGGGAAAAATAATCTGATTATCTTAAAAAAAAAAAATCTGATTATCTTGTGTGTTGAGTTCTAAAGCAGATAAACAAGGAAGTGAGATGTGCCTCCAGGGGCCAGCCCCAGCCTTCTCCCAGCACCTTGGGAAACACTGTGGGGTGTTTCTTGGTCTAATTGCTCGTCTCTTTCTCCCCACCGAAGGGTAACCTTGTCAGCCACAGACTGCTACATCGTGCACGAGATCTACAATGGCGAGAATGCCCAGGACCAGTTTGAGTACGAGCTGGAACAGGCCCTGGAAGCCCAGTACAAGTACATTGTCATCGAGCCCACCCGAATCGGTGACGAGACGGCACGCTGGATCACCGTCGGCAACTGCCTGCATAAGACGGCTGTGCTGGCTGGCACTGCCTGCCTCTTCACCCCGTTGGCACTTCCCTTAGATTATTCCCACTACATCTCCTTGCCCGCTGGTGTGCTGAGCTTGGCCTGCTGCACCCTCTATGGGATCTCCTGGCAGTTTGACCCTTGCTGCAAGTACCAAGTGGAGTATGATGCCTATAAACTGTCTCGACTGCCTCTGCACACACTCACCTCCTCTACCCCGGTGGTGCTGGTCCGGAAGGACGACCTGCACAGAAAGAGACTGCACAACACGATAGCACTGGCCGCCTTGGTGTACTGTGTAAAGAAGATTTACGAACTCTATGCTGTATGACTCCAGTGAACAGTGAGAGGAACGGAACCACACAGCCCTCGAGAGCCAAGAGGACACAAAGGATTTGGATTGCCGCAGTAACACTTTTTGCTCTGTGAGGCAGTGGAGCCTGGGAAGGTGTTTGGTTTAATATTTGTTATTTTTTAAAAAAGAACACAGATCATGGGTGTACCAAGGGTTTTTTCAGCTTATTACAAAATTGTGATTTCCATGACCCTGGAGGGGGTCTGGGGCTATGGAAGTCTAACTGGGCAGTGGACTGGATAGAAGCCAACGCTGCTGAGGGGTGTGAACGCGCTTGGGGGTCTTTAAGTGTATTGTTTAACTGTACCATTTGGAGCCAACCAGAAGCTACCAACCATTAAAATTACAAGCATTTCAATCCTGCTGTCCTCTGTCCGTGACTGTGCCTGCAGCTGTGGCTGCGTGGAGACACGTGCCCCTGTGGACACTGCTGTGCCCATTGGAGCCAGCTGCTGCCACTTGTAGTGAGATAGGCCTACACCTCCTGTCCTGCTGTCAGACGCTGCCTAGACATGGTCTCATGGGTCTCCTTCGCTTGTTCCCACAGCCAGGGCTACTGACACGCTGTTCAGGGACATGGTAGGGTTAGCAACAAGTCCTAGAGGTCACAGGGATTCCCTTTGGACTCATCTGGAAATTGTGGGGCTCAGGATCCCTCCAGAGAGTGATTTAGGACACAGGAGCTAACATTTGTGATTTTTTTAAAAGCTGTTCCAGATGTGGACCCATGGCCTACGGTGAGGGAAGTCCTGGAAGAAGTCTAGACTGCATGTCACAGGAGCTGAGGCCTGCGCTTCTCCCTTGACCTAGCCCTGTATTCCCTCTGAGGCTTTGGATGCGCGAAGAATTGTCCCTTTGCAAAGGCCGAAGCCTCGGTGCCACTGCCATTGTGGCTGAGAGCCACACAGCACCTCTTCTGAAGGGCAGTGTGTATAAGAGCTAAACTGACCTTTCACCCAGTTGTGAAGTCTCCACCCCAGAGACCCAGTCCGCACAGCAGGGTGCTTAATGTGGGGTGCTTGGCGGTTTTAGGGAGCTACAAAGCAATTGGGCCATTTTTGGTAGAGGAGATCCACAGCTTTTAAAGTTTAAGAAAATTTGATTTATCTCCAGGGGCTCTAGAAATACCAGCTGCTCAGTTGAGTGTTGGATGGCAGGATAGTGTGAGGCGCACAGTATGTTCACACAGCAGCCTTTGGCCAGTGGGAACACTGATAAAGGGAGCTGCCTTGGCCACAGAGCTCCTAGACAAACAGGCCTCATTCTGCTTGTGCAGGGTAAGCTGGGATTGGCACCCATAAACCCTCAGGTGTCTGAGCACTGGCTGTGAGCCTGCTGGGTAAGCACAGCATGGTAGGTGCTTCTGTAACAAACAGACCCAGATTTGGGAAGGAAGCCTCTGCCTGGCCTGGCTGCACATTCTGTACCTCAGACTTCACGGGGGAGGTGGCGAGAACGTGACAGGCCCTGGGTCCGAGAGTCAGATGAGCAGATGCCCTTGCCCAAAATAGAAACCAGGTGTACGCAGTGGATCTTTTTCCATTTTCCAGGCTACACTGAACAAAGTGACTCTTGTTGGTGGACTAACCCAGATCCTTAAGTGCCATCTTAGTTAAGTTGCCCCTTGGCCCTGCAGGTAAGCCCAGGGCTGCTGCCCACAGCATGGCAGGGGTTGGTGTGCCTAAGGCTAGACCATGGGCAGGACGCAGAAGCAATTTCCCACCCTGCTGCTACTGTGCCCAGACCCGAAGTAGTGGCTCGTGCTCAGCTGTGATGTGCCATGGAGCTTTACAGAAAGCTTTCAGTAAATGCCAGTTGAGAGGAAGCAAAGGCCGTGTGACTGGGCCCTCCTATGCAAAATCCAGAGTGTTATGTGGGCCATTTCAGTTCAGGGAGCAGACATGCAACTAGTAAACGTCTAGTTTTAATGCCCCACTCCCACCCTAATTTCGGAGGAGCAGAGTGCCCTGTGTGAAGGCACAGCTAACCAGAAAAATGAGAGATGCAGATGGCTGGTGTGTTCTTTGTGCCTGCCCTCTCCCCTGCCGTCCTCACTCCAGTTCTCACACCTGGCTCAGCGCTGCTGTCCCTGCTGAGGGGGATGGGGCCCTGTAGCACAGCAGAGGGGCTGCATCTGGACTGCAAAGCTTGCTTGGTTTTAGTTTTCAGTCAGGTGTGGGCAGCAGGCACAAGAAGGCCTGCTCCCGCCCAGGCACTATGGAAACACCAGGAGGCTTGATGAACAAAGTGGGAAGTGTCTCTGGACTTTATCAGATACATAAAGGCAGAGCCAACTGAAAATCATGCTTTATAACCAACCCCTCCAGCAAAATTTGCGGATGGAAGTGGGCCAGCTAAGCTTTGAGGACAGAAGAATGAACAGCAACAACATGGCTACCACCCGCCACTGATTTGACACTGGTTTGAAAACTGAAGAGCAAAGCGAAGGTTGCTCAGAAGCCACAAGCTGACGCCAGGCCATGGCTGAGCTGCCCTAAGGAGAACCTGCAGGTGGGCACTGGGCAGGGCTCGTCCACAGAAAGGCCATCAGCTGCTGTCCATGTTAGTACAGCCCCGGGCTGCCCCTGGAGGCCCCGTGTGTTCAAACCAGTGCTTGTTTCAGGAAGGGACATTCAGGGTTGTCCCAAACAGTCTAGGAGCAACAGGGTTGATCCCAGGTCTTTGGGGTCTTCAGTCTTTGAGGCTAAGAGAGCCTCTGGCGCTGGTTTGTGTCTTCTGTAACTCTAGGATTTGTGAGCCACCTTAAAAGCCTCTTGCTCAGCTTCTTGGCAAGCAGCTGTATCTAGCTAGATTTTTATAAACACTCAGTTTGCATTATATTGTCTTCTGTTTCTATGGTGGACTATAGCACTTCTAAAGTAAGTTTTAGAAAGCAAGTTTTTAAAATGTTTGGGTTGGTAAGGGCTGGAGCTATAGGTCAGTGGTAGAACACCTGTGTATCTGTGCAAGGCCCTGGGCTCCGTCCCCAGCAGAAATACACACTTGGTGCTCTCTGTCCTTGTGGATGGCGTATGCTGCCGCTAAGCTTGTAGTCTGCAGTACGTCCCAAGATCTGACCCTTTTATTTAATGGAGATGAAAGGACAGAGCTGGGCACAGGCCCTTCTGCAGGTACCAGTCACCAAGCGTCTACGGAGAGGTGCTCTGTGCTTCTCAGAGGAAGCGTCACCTTGTTGCCATGCCCCGGGAGCCTGCTAGTGCGGGGCAGCCTCACTCAACCTGGGGTGAGGTTCAGAGGGAGCTGTAGCTCTACAACAGTTGCTGCCACGTTGGCTCTGGTGCTGGGATCTACTGTGAACACTAAAAAGCCCTTCCTCATGCCAGGACAGGTGTAGACGACGTACGTGGAAGATGAAACGGCACCCATCCTGTTTGTCTGCATTTCACCAGCAGTTCCTGGACCTGTCTAGGATGTACTGTGAGCCAGGGCAGATCTAAGCACCTGCAGGTCCTCCTACTCCCAGGAAACTGGACAGCCTTCAATTCCCTAACCCTATGGTGTTGTGGCTATTTTTATCATTTGGGGGCAGCTGTTTATTTATTTTTATTTTTTTTTCCGGTACCGGGAATCGAACTCACGCTTGCCAGGCAGGCACTATGCTGCTGAGCTAAATCCCCAGCCCCGGGGCAGCTGTTTAAAATAGAAGCTTGAAGGGCCAGACTTGGGATACAGAGCAAGATGTCAACATGACAAGACTAGGTCGTTTTTATTCTAATTTAGGGAACTCTACAATGGAATTACTATCCCAATAATCAGTTTCAGTAGTAGGAAAAATTTCTCGAAAACCTCAGAGATAAGTTGATCTACTTAGTGAACCTCAACCACATATTTTTAATAAATTAGAAAGGCACATGCTCCAGTTAGTTCCCATTAAGGTACTCCTACATATGTTCATTCATTCATTTATTTATTGAGACAAGGTCTCACTATATAGTTCGGACAACTTGAATTTGTTCTGTAGTCCAGGCTGGCCTTAAACTTGCAGCAATCCTCCTGTCTCAGCCTCCCAAGTGCTAGGATTACAGGTGTGCGCCACCACGTCCACCTACCAGGGGTGTTTTAGACTCCTCTTCATGTTCTAGGGCACCTGGGGCCATGCAGGGTTCTCTCCCTTTGGCTGCTTAATAATTTCATCATCTGCTTGAAGGGGTGCTGAGAGTCCTAAGGAACATGAGGTGTTCCTATTGGTGCTAAACTTGGGATCTCTTGGGATATGCCGAATAAGCCACCACACACTAGCCTGGCTTCTGTGCTCCATGAGCCATCACAGGGCCCTGGAAGTGAATATGAATAATGAGTTCCTGGAGCCATACCCTGCCCCTCAAGCACTGGAGGCTCCATCGAGGTGGTTTTGAGTAAGTCAAACATGAGAACAGCTGGCTCAGGTGATGTCATGGCGTCTTCTGGTTCCAAGACTAAGGCCATTTCTAGGAGTTGGGGGAGCTAAAATTCAAAGGACACACTGTTTCTCTAATCCTTGAAGGCTGAGTTACTGTTCCAGTCATTTAATTGTATTTTTAGTGTTAAACCCTGCCCCATATTTATTTAAGTGTTTACCCTTCACCTTGGGAAGAAGCTCGTGGCCTGGTTTAGTTCCCGCTCTCGGGGCAGGGGCCAAGCCAGGGAAGTGTTTCCCCAGTGTATCCACCTGAGACAAACCTCCACTCAAGTCTCAACAGATGCAGCTGTCCCCTGTAGAGCAACCACGCCCAAGAAAGTGTTGCTTCTCAGCTCCAGCTCTGATCTGCATTAAGAGTTCTTGGATTTCCGCTCCTTGCTGGCTCTGAAGGCCATGATGCTGAAGAAGAGCCCAGGAGCCAGGCTGCGAAGATAAATGGCCAAGAAAGGCACCCAGTCGGCCAGGACCACGTCTTTCTTCTTCTTCCCTACGGCAGCAAGAACATCCTGGGCCACATCCGCAGGACTCCGGCCCTGGGCTGTGTTCCTGTCCATAGCTAAAATAAAAGAAACACATGAACTTGGAAGCAGAGGTCCCACTCTTGAGGGTCTGAGCTGACAAGGGTGATCATGTCAGCCTGCTGCACTCCCTACTGGGGAGCTCTTCCCAGTCTGTCAGGAAGCAGCAGCATCCTGAGCCCTGATGTTCTACCCTACCCAGCCCCAGGACTGGAGACTGAACCCAGGGCCTTTGCACTGAGTTACACCTCCAGCCCTTTTTTATGTTTTAGAATTTTGAGGCAGAGTCTTGCTAAACCATGCAGGTTCAGCTTGAGCTTGTGATCCTTCCTCAGCCCCCCAGACTGCTAGGGTTATAGATGTGCGCTACAGTGCCAGGCCCTGATGATTTCATGTTCTGTGGAACTGTTGGCATTTCACAATAGGTAAGGGGGGGTAGGTAAGTGGGAATGAGGAACATATGGGGTGAGGACTGGCAACCCCACTCTGCTTGGGACCAAAGTGGGCCCATCTGTGTGGTGGCTTATGGGAAAAGCAGAAGGCCAGCCCAAGTAGGATCTCAGAGAGAGCTCCTCACACCTCTGAGAAGCTTCCTTTTTTTTTTTTCAGAACCAGGAATCGAACTCAGGACCGTGCACTTGGCAGGCAGGGACCGTGTTGCAAGCTACATCCCCGGCCCTGAGAAGCTTCCTGACCTGGGAAGTTTTCCCATCTTAGAGTAACCAATGACTAAGGACTGTTACCCATCTAATTAATGTGAAATGGCTTAGCTTCAGCGTTACCAGAGGGAGAGGGGGGACCATCTGATCCCTACAGGCAGCACCAGCTCACAGAACAGACAGATGCCCCCGCTCCCAAAGTCACATCAGCCAGACGAGACAGGAAGAAATCCACGGTCTGCTTTAGGCGATGGAGGGAAGGAGGTAGCTGGGAGAGTTTAGGACGTATGAGTGTGACAGTCACTGATGTTCCTTCTTCATGAGTGACCTGCTTTTTGCTGGCAAAGCAGAAGCAGCCAGACTGCCTGGCCTCCCTCACCGGAGCTCTGTGTTCTTGTGTGTGAATGGAGAAAGTGGAGAATATCAATTGTTGCTTATTTTTAAATGCCAGAGAGAGAATTTTTAAAGCAGTATCTACTAGGGATAAACAAGTGTGAAGCTGTATAGCTCCTGCCTCTGTGTGGCTTCTGCTGTGGGGAAACTTGCTGTGTGAGAGACCAGCTGCCAGCCAGGACAGGGCAGTCTTGGTTCAGGCCTGGAAGGGTGGGTGCATGACCAGCAGGCCCTTCAGCACAGGCCCACAGAGATCGCACCCAGAGCAGCGGGATAGAGCAGGACAGTGCCGGAAGGGTAGACAAGCCTGTCGCAAGCTCAGGGAGGCACTGGTGGTCCAGCTGACCCCAGACAGCTTGTGCCTGCATGCTGGGCTGGGCCAGGCCTTCAGCCTGTAAGTGGCAATTGCAGGTCAGCTCAACACTGCCTCCAAATGAAGCAAGATGGAGACCAATAGTATTGCCCACACCCGGACTCACCCCGAAAATCAGCCCTGACATCAGTGATAATGCATTGGTAGGGACTGTTCAGGTCAAGCCTTCCCACTTGCCATGAAGTTAATTCACTTAGGCCTGATCGTGACAATACTTCTTGGACCTTAGGGTCTGGGAATGAGTTAGGTGGACGCGTGGTGGTGTTTCAGCTTGAGGACTTCCTTTGTATGCCCCACAATTCTCAACCCAGGCTAAGGGTGGCTTCTGGCAGAGTAAGGGAAGATTATGTAACAGTCTATATTTACAACCAACACTTATGTGAGAATTTTTAAATATAAAAAACTGTCTTCCAAATGAAATGACCAAAAAATCACTGAGGTAAAAGCAACATGTCCCACTGTGGCCACCCAATAGCTTTTCTTTCTTTCTTTTTTGGTACTGGAAATTGAACTTGGGACCTTGCACTTGCCAGGCAGGCACTTGTGCCACTGAGCTAGATCCCTGGTCCCCAATAGCTTTTGTTTTTTTGTTTTTTTTTCGTTTTTCTCTGGTACCGGGAACCGAACTCACGACCTTGCGCTTGCCAGGCAGGCGCTTTTGCCGCTGAGCTAAATCCCCAGCCCCCCCAAAAGCTTTTCTTTTTTAAGATTTTGTTTTGTCTGGACACAGGTCTCACTGTGTAATTCAGGCTGGCCTTGAACTCACGGTGACCCACTCTCCTCAGCCTCCCAAGTGCTGGGATTACAGGTGTGTGCTACCATGCCTGGCTTCCAATAGCTTTTCTTCTTTTCTCTTTTTCTCTTTTTGAGACAGGGTCTTGCTGTACAGTTCAGACTGGCCTTGAGCTCACTTTGTAGCTCAGGCTGACCTTGAACTCGTAATGATCCTCCTGCCTCAGCTTTCCAGTGCTGAGATTACACACATGCGCCATGATGCCCAGCTCCCATAACTTTTCATAGGAGAAAAAGAAGCCTGCCTCACCTCCATATCTGGACCCATCACCTGTGACGGCATTTACAGAGAGGTTGGTGCGGATGTAGCCAGGGCTGATGAGAGTCACTTCGATTCCATCCTGCTTTACTTCCGCACGCAGGCAGTCAAAGAACGCCTGTGTTGCGTGCTTGGAGGCTGCGTCTGCAACAGCAGAAAGGAGCAGTGAGGGCGGCGGGAGGGTGAGGCCCCGAGCCCACCTTTCACTGCACTCACCCTTCAAAACCTGGCTTTGCCACGTGAGAAAGGAGCAGTGAGGGCGGCGGGAGGGTGAGGCCCCGAGCCCACCTTTCACTGCACTCACCCTTCAAAACCTGGCTTTGCCATGTGAGAGCACAGCACCGCACAGTGCTCACTCTCGGTTCTGAGAAGCGCACTGCGTCTCGGAGCTTAGGAGACACTGAAAGCGTCGGGAGGGAAGGGGTGCTGTGTGCCAGCCTCCTCGTAAGGCTCACGGAGAACGCGCACATGTGTGCGCACGCGCACGCGTACAGTATGCTAAAAAAAACCCTTAATGCCTACTGAGTGAAAGACTAAATAGTACAAGTAAAAAAGTGAAGTCCTTCTGCTTTCCAGTCCCGATCTTGGAGGGGACTACGCTGGCTCTCAGACTTTGTTTTATGTGTTTTGTGTGTACACACACGACTTTACGGACCTCACACTGTTCCTACAAGTAGCCTTCTTCACCTGGCACAGATGATACAGCCTCTGTGCCAGCCCTACAGAACCACCACAAAGCACACCTTAGCTGGTCTCATTTCATCTTGCTTGGCTGCCCAGTCTTCCCTTGGGGTCACCAGGTGAAAGGACTGGTTCCGTGAGTGGACCTGAAGGGCTATTTCTGGTTTTTGTTACTATAGAACGTGCCACTAGTGATGATCTCTGCACACACATGTGCATATAATCCATGCCTGGCTTCTTACGTACTTCCCCTGATGAACTGCTGGGTGGTAACTTCCATCTTGAAGTCACAGAGCTTGCTTCACCTGCGAGAGGCAGTCACCTCTGCTTCTCAGCAACAGCTCCGCAGTCCAGTGAAAAGTGGTGAAGGGACACAGGTGTGTCCTACATGTTTTAGTCTCAGTGAAAAAAAGGGTGTCATCTATCAGCCAAGACAACAGGAAGGGACACAGCCAGGAAATGTCACACCGAGTCACAGAAGGATCTGGTTGCAGGTGGGTGGAAGAACACTCCTGTCAGTTGTGATTCCAGGGACAGCCCAGCCAGAGGACGGACAGGAATGGGTCCCTTGGAGGTCTCTAAAACAGGCTCCACACTGGTGGCTGGGTCTCCCCAGAGCTTCTCAGGCTGAGCTGGCCCAAGCCCTAGCTGCTGCCACCATCACCCGCTCCCTCTGTGCATGGGACAGTGGCACTCACACCTCATGGACTGTCTGATGTGGCCTCTCAGCAGCAGTGTGAAGCAGACGAGGCTAACAGGTGAGAAAGGTGCTACCGATCTTGGCCGAGCCGCTTGCCCAGGCAGCACAGCCGCTCCTTCAGGGCGGGCACCATGCAGCAGAGATACGAGCCTTCGCGGGTTTTCAGCGATGCAGACAGACACTGTGGCACGCGTGTCCTAGGCTGCCCACCACTGCTATGCCCTATCAGACCGACCAGGCCGCCTACTGATGTTGGCAGCTGTTAAGAGAATAAGATCCAGTGGGTCTAACCCCGAGTAAAATGTGGAAATCATTTAATACAGAGAACTCTGTGTCCTTTACTCTGATTTACCTATTACTAACATTTACCTTAGTTGCTATATCAGTCATGATTTTTTTTTTTTGAGACAGGGCCTCGCTATGCAGTTCAGGCTGGCCTTGAGCTCACTTTGTAGCCCAGGCTGGCCTCAAACTCACAACAATCCTCCTGCCTCAGCCTCCCGAGTGCTGGGATTACAGGTGTGCACCACATACCCAGCTCTCTTTCACGATTATACATAGTTTTTGTTTGGTTTGGTTTGGTTTCATTTCCTGAACCTCTTGAGCAGGCTTGGATGGCTATCCTGTGCGAGCAGGGTTGAAGTAGAATATGGGCCAACAGAGAAACCACAGAGATAAGTACAGATACAGCTCCTTTCATGTACAGAGGGCACCTCCAGCTGACTCATCTCACCTTTAGTCCAGCCCTGGGAACCATTCTGATGAGTGTGAGGACCATGGAGGGGGAGGAAATGGAGGTCAGTACAGGTCCAGACATTCCGCAAGAGCCAACAGGCAAAGAAGGGACTCAGATCTTGGTGAAAAGAATAACCTTGTGCTCAGACGTTTCGCTACACCTTATTATCAATTGGACTGTCACCATCCCTTCAAAACTCTGAAGGAGCTCAGCCACCCACCTGCTTCCTGACAGGGATGTGTCTGGGCCGTGGGGATGTTAAGAGCAGACAAGACTGTTCCAGGTCTTTCCTTTCAGAGGGTACAGTGAAGAAAGTGACTGAGATGGTTTGTGAAATTTCCTTTAAAATATTTTAAAAAGCAGAAGTTATACTGTGTGTGCTTGCTGGTGTGACACAAAGGTGGAGAGATGGAGGAAGTGGCACAGCTACTCTCCTACATGGAGAGGGAGGTACGAACTGGTGAGCAAACTGGCACGCTGAATTTTTCGGGACTGTATTTGCAAACAGTGGTAAGCACAGAGAGGTGAGGACTCTTGCCTGAGGTCGCACAGAGGGTAAGGAATAAAGCTGGGATCTAACCCAGGTACGTGGCTCCAGAAAACCACATTTACATTTTGTGGTTTCTTCACATTCTGTACAGGGTATCTCTTCAACATCTGAATTCTGGACAGTAAACATATTTTTATAATCTGAAAAATAAAAAACATCCCAGGTAGGGCCGGGGATATAGCTCAGCGGTGTAAGTGTTTGCTTGGCAGGCGCAAGGTCCTAAGTTCGATTCCCAGTACCCCTCCAAAAAAAAAGCAAAACACAAAACATCCCAGGTGAGGGAGAAGAAAGTACTCACAGGCTGAGCGGAAAGGAACACTAATTTTTCCCTGGATGCTGCTAATGGTGACAATGTGTCCTCGCTTCCTCTTGATCATGGATGGCAGGAGCACTGCAGGGAGAAGACAGGGACTTAGATGGCATTGTTCCTCCTGCCACTGGGGGTGACAGCCCCTCAGTGACAAGCACGGAGAGCGGAAGGAGGCAGGGGGAGCTGACAGCCAGCCTAGCTGACAGCGGTCAGCACAGCACTTTCGTCCTACGGAAGCCTGAACCCTGAGCTGGTGTCTGTGGGACACAGAACATCCCCTCATTGTCCAGGTTTGCAGACATCATGGGATGGACATGCAGGCAATGGTGTGCAAATGAGACTGCAAAGACCCTCATGTGTCAGAAATGCACATAAAATACAGACAAAGGCCTGAGGAGAAAAAAAACAGACCATAATGACCATACCCACTGCATGATACAACAGCACATAGGGACAGGCAAGATCTAACCAAAATAGAATCAAGTAAGCAAACAGAATGCCAACACATCAGGCCCTTTTCTCTTTTAACCCAAGACTGTTACCTTTTGTTAAAGCTACAGGACCAAAGTAGTTTGTCTCCATAACCTTCCTGTCCACGTCTACTGTGGTGTCCACGATGGCCCCACGGTAGCTGATGCCAGCATTATTGACGAGGATGTCCACAGAGCCAAAGCACTGCAGGATCTCTGCTCCTGCAGCCATGGTGGCTGCAGAGTCTGTGAGGTCGAAGGTCACTGTACAGGGCTTGTGCATCTGTTTCTGGTCAAAACAAGACAAAAGGCCTGCTGAGTGATGTGTCCTTGCTTTTCGGAGTCCTGGGAAGGGCCCATGGGCCCTGAAATGCCGTGGGGTGCAGCAGCCCTCTCCCCAAGAGATGTAGCCCACACACTTCCTGCCTGTTGTGCTCATACTTTACCTGGACAACTGCCTCCTGAACTGCGAAGAACTGAACCCCACAAGAGGTACCTGGAGACCCTCTCAGCTTCATGAGTGAGACTGCAAGGTGCCCAGGGCAGGGCACAGAGGGCATGGCCTGCCGTAGATCACCACAGGAGCTATTAGTCACAGGTCCTCCTGCTGCTCTGTGTTGTCCATTGTCCTTACGCAGCACCGTGTGTGTGTGTGTGTGTGTGTACATGCTGTCTTACTCAGGGTAGGTCATTTGCACGCACTCGTTGCTCAAGGAACATTACTTACACATCCCCTAGGGGCCAGGGATGTTGCAGAAAGTAAGACAGAGTCCCTGTGCCCCTGAAGCACACAGTCCAGTGCAGAAGACAGGTTAGTCCTATCACTGTAAAGAATGCTATGAAGAAGTACAGGGTGCTAGAAAAGTAAGTAAATCAGCAATGTCACTTGGAGGGCTTTCCCACAGATGTGAGCCAAAAAGAAACCAAGAAGATGAGTGTGGGTAAATCAGAGAGGACAGCAGAAAAAGCAGGAAGCACCAGGAATCCACCTCTTCATCGGGAAAAATATACTGGCAGAAACTCTCTGAAGGGACCCTTCTAGAATGCTGGAATTTACTTGAATATTTGTAACTTCCAGGGAAGTGTTTGCTGGCAAACTGCAATAATTTTGGTAGATTTCACCCATCAGGTTACTGGCACCTAGCAGTCCACCACCCCATCCTGCAGGTTGGCACTGTTTCAGCCACTACCAGCTGACACAGCCTTCAGCTTGCAGTGGAAGCAATGTCTAATTCAAGGATGTGTGACTGTTTTATGGGCATTCAAAAATACAAATACATTTCTACAAAACATACCCAAAAAACCAAGATGCTAGACTTACTAGACAAAGACATTGAAAAGACTGAAAAAGGTGTCACACATTTGTAATCCCAGCACTTAGGGACACTAAGACAAAAGGATTGCAAATTCAAGTCCCACCTGGGCAACTTAGTAAGACCCTGTCTCAAAATATATGTATTTTTAAAAACAGGGCTGGAGATGTAGCTCACATGAAAGTCTGAGACCCAATTCCCAGCAGCACACAAAAAAAAGAAAAGACAAGACATCTCCACTATGCTCAAAGAGTAAAGGAGACATGGACAAAAAAGAAACTATTAAAAATGGGAATATAAATTAAAAATTATTAAAAATTCTAGAGCTGTAAAGTATAATAAGTGAAATAAGATATACAAGGAAAAGCAAACAAGCACACTGAAGAATTAGTGAACTTAAAGAAAACTGAAATGATCACATCTGAGGAACAAAGAAAAAAGAATGAAGTAAACAGTGTACCTAAGAGATACACATCACTTTATCAAGCAGACCAACATACGCCCTGTGGATTTCTGAGGAGAGGGAAAGAGACAGAGAGAGGTAGAGAGAATATAATAATGGCTAATTACTCCTCAGATTTGATGAGAAACATGAACCTACACATCCAAGAAATACAACATCAAGTACAATAAACTCAGAACCACATTGAGACAAATTATAGTCAAACCACTGAAAGACAAATCTTGAAAACAGCAAGCAAGAAGCAACTCTTCACAAAAAAGGGATCTTTGTTAAGATGATCAGCGGACTTCTCATTGAAACCTTGAAGAGTCTGGCGCGCACGGGAAGCCGCACGGTGGGGAGCCTCGGTCTTCGGCTGGCTCCCTGCCGCACTGACGCCCGGAAGGAGGGCCCCCCCCACCCCGGCGCCCGTGAAAGCCATGGGGTGGGGAGCGCTGGCCCTCCGGCTGGCCCCTAGCCTAGCAGGCGTGGTGGGGTGGGGAGCTTTGGTCTTCCGGCCGGCTCCCCACCTCGCAGGCGCCTGGAAGGAGGGCCCCCGGTGCTGCTTGCTCGGGAAGCCAGCCCCCAGCCTAGCAGGTGCCCGGGAGGAGGGGCTCTGGCGCACGGAAAGCCGTGCAGCAGCAAGTGCTGTCCCGCGCCTGCCTGAGGGCTGGCTGCCGCTCAATTGAGAACTACCATAACACAGAAACAACGACACAATCAGCCCACCATGCACCGGCTGCAGATGCCCACCCACAGACATGTGTGAATCATTCAAACATGGAGAAACCCCTGGGAATGCATGCCATACAACGGGCCACTCTTGCTCCTGCCATTGAGAACCTGAAAGGTCCAGAGTCAGCGGAGGAGCAGCTGCTGAACAAGGACTCAGAGAACATGAGAATGCAGACAAAGCCTGAGGGATCAGAGGTCCTGTGGACTGGGGTCATGAGAGCCGCTTGGAAGCTGTAAACCAGGAGGACCTTGCACAAAACCTGCGGAGACTCACTGGAAGCCATTCTTCCCCTGACAGTACAGGCTGTGGTGGAGCTCTGGAGAAGTCTGCATAAAGATTCCTGCCCCCTGTGCTGATGGTTGGGGAGAGGACACTAACTGGTTGTGGGGTCCCAATGAGATGGGAAGCTGGAGAGAAAAAGCTACAAAGAATGGCTTTCGCCCCAGGCGGCTCACTTGAGATGTTAGTAAGAATTGCCTCCTCAGCAATATGTATAGCTGTGATGAGGAGGAGGCCAAGGAGAGAAAACAAAGAGACTGAGAAAAAGCACCTGCTTTTGCTGCAGCACTAAGAGAAACAGATCCCAAGCCTCATTCTCGGGGCCCCAAGAAGAACTCAACGACTGCATTCATCTGCTACCACTGTTAAAAGCCAGGCCACCTCAAGAGGAACTGCCTTAAGAAGCCCCCTGGGCCATAACCTGAATACAAAGATCGGTCTGCCCTCTGAAGTGGTCTGCCCTCTGAAGCAGAGGCCCCAGAGCTGAGACCCATCCTACCAGTTAGTCCAATAGGAATGAGGGGGCCCAGGGCATACTCTGCCTTCTCCCTCTGGCCAGACTGTCATCTCCATGGAGGAGCCCCAGGTAATCATGACTATGGAGGAACAAGAAAACAGCCTGTTGCTAGACACAGGTGCAAGTCTCTTGGACCTTCTTTTCAATCCTGGCCTTCCTTCCAGCCGTCACACCTCAGTGACAGGAGTCACTGGTGAAGAGGTAATATGCTATTTTTCACAACCCTTAGGGTGTAGCTACTTGTTAGATCCTTCTTGCGGATCTCTGTCTTCTTGAGAAACCACTTTGAAGATACCACCATGTATTACAGCAGCCATTGATATTTTCCTACTAATCTATCCATAACTCTGTAATGTTTGTATTGTTCCTATGCTATTTCGTAAATGGATGCATGTTTATTATTGTGTTTTTCCTACAATAACCATTGAGAATAGTTAATGATTACTCAGTAGGTCACTCATGTGTAACTCTATTTATTTTCTTAAGAAGCCACTTTGAAGATACCAAAGTACAGTACAACAGCTATTGATAATCTCCTACCTCTTTTGTCTGTAACTCACTATTATTTGTCTATTTGTTTTCCTGAGAAACTTATCTTGTAGATAACAATATGTAAAACAATAACCATTGATAATTTCCTACCACTTTGTCTGTAATTTGGTAAGCCCCCCTATTATTATGTTATCCTTCTTTTACTTTAAAAAAAAAAAAAAAAAGAAACAAACCTTGAAGACCAACAGGCAGTGGACTGATATATTTAAAGTGATAAAAAAACGGTATCAACCAAGAAGTATACATCTATACAAATGTCATTCAAAACTGAGAGGGAAATTAAGACATTTCCAGATAAAGCTGAGGGAGTTCATTGTCATCAGACCTATTCTGCAAGAAATCCCAAGGGGAATCCTTCAAGTTTGAAATGAAAAGCAGGTAGACAGTAACTCAAAGTCAGAGGAAGAAATAAGATCTCCAGTAATACATGGGCAATTATAATGGCTATTATTAGTATAATTTTCATTTATAAATCCATGTTTTGTGTTCTAAATAATTAAAAAGACAAATGAATAAAAGCCATTATTAAATTATGTTACCAGGCAACACTACAGGAATATATAATCGGTGGCATGAATACCAGACAGGGGGACTACACTGAGGGTAGGGTTTCTGTATGCCACTGAGGGTGACATAAATTTAAATCAGTGTTACAATTTTAGGATACTAAATGTAATTCCTATGTCAGTCATATGTAGAGGCACAGCCCTGTAATCCCAGCACTTGAGAGGCTGAGGCAGGAGCATCACTGCAAGTTCGAGGCTAGCTTGGGTTACACAGTAAGTTCAAGGCCAGCCTGAACTACATAGTGAGACCTTATTTAAAAAAAAGAGGGGGTGCCAGGGATCTAGCTCAGCAAAACAAGCATCTGCCTGGAAAGCACAAGGTCCTGAGTTCAATTCCTGCCACCAAAGGAAAAAAAAGGAATCCCCATGGTAACCACAAAGAAAATATACACATAAAGATATGAAAAGGAATCACAGTGTCTTACTGCAAAGCTTCAAATAAACATCAAAGAAGCCAAGAAAAGGAGAAATGAAGGACGTCCTCCCTCCTCTCTAGGACACAACGTGCAACATCCAGAAATTAAAGACAGAAAGGCTTATTTTGGCCCAGTTTGCAGAGGTTCCAGTCCATAGCTGGCTGGCTCCAAGGCAGGGCAGCATGGCAGAGGGGCATCGCAGAGGACAAACAGCTTGCAGCATGACAGGGAAGTAGGGGGAGGTCACAGGAGGGAGGCAGCTACACCCATCCAGGGCACGCCCCCGTGACCCACCTCCTCCAACCTGACTTCACTTCCCAACATCACGTGTAGTCACAACTCGTCAGTAGACTAATCCACTGATGAGAGTCACGCCCCTGATCCAGTCACCTGCCAAAGGCCCTGCCTATGAGCACATAAGACTTTGGGGGTGACATGTAAATAAAGCTAAAGCAGAACAAAATTATC